ATATATATATAATATATATATTATATATATATTATATATATATGTGTATATATATATAATATATATATATATAGAGAGAGAGAGAAAGAGAGAGAAAGAGAGAGAGAGAGAGAGAGAGAGAGAGAGAGAGAGAGAAAGAGAGGGAGAGAGAGAGAGAGAAAGCGAGAGAAAGAGAGGGAGAGAGAGAGAGAGAGAAAGAAGAAAAGAGATACATTCAAATGTCATTTATGCTAAGTGCAACAGACTGAAAAATTCCAGCACTTTTAGAAGTTCATAAATTATACTGTTAATACACAAGTTTGAGGTTCAACCATCCTGTAATATATGTATATTTAAAAGTTCGTACACGGCGCGTGTAATGATTGCGGTGTACGCATGCTTAAGTGTAATTAATTCAAGTGAAAAAAAGGAAAAAAAGAGAAAAAATGGAAAAAGAAAGAAGGAAGAACAGATAAAAGACAAATAGACTTAAATAACGAAGACTCACAGCTGCCACAACCGCTCCGCCGCTCAAAATTCCATATCCGGTTATTCATTTATAAAAATATTTTCAGCAGTAATAACGTTTCCATGGCAATAATGTAAACAATAACGCATCTGCACTATAGTTATAGACAAAATGTTTATGTAATACTGCAACGGAATTGCATTTGTACAATTGAAAGTTCCTAAAGAAGTGTGAGTTTGAAATTCTGCAACTTGTATTCCAAATTTCGAACATACGAATACCACTTGTAGAAGCACTCGTTTATTCATTATATAAAAGTTACTGTTGATTTAACCACTTAAATGCCTTAGAGAAAAAAAGAAAAAGAAAAAAGAGCGAACTTCTGTTGTAGTTTTGTGTAATTAATGAACAGATTTAATACAAAAACAAGTTACCATGGTAACAATGTTACTGCGAAATGTTGACTTTCCGCTACTACCAGAACAGACATATTTCGTATTCAATGCTCGCGTATAGTGTGACATACTGTATTGCAATTTATTTAAATATCTATTTGTTACGTAAATATTTATATATTATCGAAAACTAATATATTGGTTTTGATGTATACATGATACACTAGTAAAGATAAAAAGATAGTGTAAAAAGTAAGTGTTAAAGTGACTTGTTGGCCGCTCACCGAAAAACTTCAAACTACCCAAGTGTTCACAGGCCATACTAGCTGGCATTACAATTTTATCTATATTTACTACAGTGAATATACACACATGGTCGAAATGTTAGAAAATTTCTTCTGCGAATTTGATATTACATTTCAACTATGCATACACAGAAACAAACGCAAATAATTATATATACGGTATATGATTATACTATCCGCAATTGTATTGTATCATAACGAAGCGTGTACTCGGAGAAAATAATTTATGAACCATTTTTTCTGTACGTATCGAATGATGAATTTTCGATGTTGAAGCGAGAATCTGTCTACAGAGTTATTCGAATGCTGATCATCGTATTTAACGTTTACGGACTTTTCTGTAGTAGAAAATATCAAAACGCAATATGTAAACAGTGTTGATGTTATGTTACATCATTCTGTCGAGTTTACAAAGTAAGAAATTAGCATTTAATTCATAACTGTAAAAAACCACAATTACGTCGTAGTGACGTCACAGTGTATTATCATATCTATATAATGTACTATAATTTTTTATGCGTTTTTTGATAATGAAGAACATTATACAAGATCGTGATCGTTTTGGAATGTATTAGGAAGTTTACATAAAATAATGTCAAATTTCATTGTTTATATAAAATAAGAAACTTTGTAGGTAGATTCTACAAAATGTGCTTTGCAACAACCGATCTTGGTGCTCGATACTCATTAATTTGATTCGATTCTAAGCGGCCTGAATACCATAATGAATTTTTGTACCTTAAAAGGATATCGATTATCGTAGCACATAGTGCTCTATTTAAATCTTGTACATTATGTTCTTTCGTAACTATTGAAAACGATTACGAAACGAATTTAGCAGAAATTTAAGATTTATTTTTCATAATATTATTTTCAATGTAATAATAAGAATAATAACAAAGAAGTGTATTATGGTTACCCACGAGGCACAAAATATATATTAGTTAAGCGCTTAAAAGAAACAAGAAAAGAAGTAACATCGAATGATGTGTAAACGAAATACTAGCCATTGGCCGGATCAAGTGATAAATGGTTTAATGCTTCCAATTAAAAGAAATATAGATTCTTCAATTGACTTATTGCTATTACATGGTTTGTAATCCTTTAAATCATATTTACGAATAAATATAATGATTTGTGACACTTCTGTCATGTGTTACGAACTTACTCCTTGCAAAAAGGGGATAAGAAATTTTGGCAATTTGAATTTGGCGCCATTTGAATACTTCATGAGTAACAGTTATAGCATTAATTTAGCTACTATTTTATCGTAATACTATTGCAACTATTAACATTTAGATGAAGTGCAGTTATAGCAGTACCCACTGATAAGTTGAAAGTGATAATAGCTAGATGCAAACAACTAATTGCGTTCAAGGGAAATTTGACTACATACGACGCGTATCATACTAATGTTCGATTGCATGTACATACGTGTATGCAACAAGAATGGAGAACTAGCGTCATTCGCGTGGGTGCGACCGTGCGTGATCGAGGATTCACGGACGACCAAACGAATCGCAGATGATCCAGCTCAATCGTTGCAACATGTGAATGCGTATATGGCATTGCCTTGAAACGCGCATCCTTCCGTTCCCGGCGAACCATGACGGTCCGAAGACGTGAACATGCGACATACAAACGCGCGCTCGAGATCGATGGTGTACATACGTTGCAATTCTAGGCGTTGAGCATTCGCATCGATGTTGGTCTCGAGAATCGATCGTTACGAAAAAGTTGTGTTTGTGATCTTGGCGAAATGTTCGAAGTGCCGTTAAACGTAACAGTTGATAACGAAAATTTACTACGATCTTATTCGAGTGTGGATCTTGTTTAAATTTAGAAATAAAATTTGAATTTAAATTTTTTAAAGCAAAGTTGGGCTATAGAAGGTGGAGTATATATATATGAATTGAATTTAGTGTATAAAGTGTGAAATAAAAGTTTTGATTTGGTGTAAGAAGGTGTCTATTACCGCTCGAGTCAGCATGCATTATCCGAATTAAAGGTCTGTGCTTTCTCTATATTTATATTTGACTTGGATTATGGCTTTAATGAAAAAAAGAAGAATCGGATGCCTAATAAAATAAATTTATTGCGGAGAGAGATTTCAATCGCGTAGAATTTTTTTTAATTGCACAAAGTATATGGTGGTTTTAAGTATCAATAGCCTATTTATTCAAATTATTTTTTATTTATCTTATTATCTTTTACTTTTTCTTCGCGTAATTGCAGCTTGTAAAATTGGAAAAGAGCGGTGTTTTTTTAATTGCGTCATAAATAAATATATGAATTATACTTAAGCTGATCATAAAATTACAAAGAAACAACGATGATTCATCGCGATAATTTGAATACAGGTTCGCGGTCATCTCGAATCGGTTGATCGAGTGCCAGCATCGAGAACAACGTCAGTGCCGCGGCTCACTTCCGGTCTTCTACGCCGGTAAAACGAAATTCTAACCGAACGAACGACTATCTCGAAACTTTTCAACGAGTCTTCCAATAATTCAAAGGGGTTATTCAAATTCGAAGTAATTTGTTTTCGTCTTACTTTGTGATGTATTATAATACAGGTTAGTAAAAACTTACGACTAATTAAACCCAATTTATCAGTTCTCATTAATTGCATTATTTATGACAAATATTGGTTATATGTTTGTATTAGAAACAGAATTAATCGTGGAATTTTAAAATTTTTAAATTTAACTGCACAGATTATAGATATCCGTTTGAACATTTTCTAAATGTTATTTTTTATTTAATGTCACTGCTATAAGAGAAGTTGACTACGAAAGGAAATTATAATAAAGATGTATATATTGAAATATGTATTCTGGTGCAGAAGCTCGTTGATTTCTTCAGCCGTTGTAATCGAATAATTGCCCTCCAAGATGGTACGTGTTGCACGCTTGTCCCACACGAAGGAAGATACGATAAAGGTAAGTTTATTAACGGGAACGGGAATAAAATGAAAATACTTGGATAATATAAAATGAAGGACAGCCTAGCGTAAACGATGTTTGTCTAAGCATGGTGAATACATTTACATGATGCCGTGTTAGTCACAGATATTTTAGATACAAACGGAAACCGAACCTAAATCAAAACGTGTCGCATACTTTCGATTCCATTTTTAGTTAAGATTAATAAAATTTAAAAATAAATTAAAATTAATCAATGAATATTGGCTAATCTTAAAATATAAGATGTGCTAATAATATTATTAAGTTTATTGTAATAAATAATAAATTATAAAATATTATTCTCATGAAATATAATTTAAGATGAGTACAGTTAAACAATTGAAAATATTGATTATTGTAAATATAAAAAAGAAACTTGAATATAAGAGAGAGATATACCTCTGGTGTTACAAAACATGTGGGCATAACTTCAGGAAAAATTGAATTCGGTACACAAGATTAAGAAAATATGAAACATATGATTTTATTATACCTATTTTTATTTTCTAGTAACTTTTAGGATAAATCAAAGTGCTTATTTAATTATTGAAATTAACTATAAACCCTATTTTGCAAAGTGCTTGAATTAATTTAATACGTTTTTTTCCGATGACAACAATATGTTTAGGTAATTTTTAACACATATTTATTTGGTATTTTTTAATTTTTAGTTATGTTGATACCCGAAATTTTTACGATACATCAGACGATAATGTTGAGTTTGCAGCATTCTACGATGCTATGACGTTTAGTAGCTTGTATTCTAGTTGAGGGTGCTCATTTCAAACAATTTCTATAAAGGTAAGTAAATAACTGGCACAATAAAAAAGATGAATTTTATTTCTTAATTCCGTGTACCGAATGCAATTTTGAATTTATGTTTATCTGTTATAAAACACCTGCTACATTTTCAGATATGTATTTCTTCATTGGTATCTCGGTTCATCATTTTTTAAACCTTATCAAAAGAGTCCAATTCTGTTGCTAGTAGTGCTGCCATGGGTTTTACTGATGTCTATGCATAATGCAAAATTACTATTGTCGCTAACTATAGATATCACAGTCTACAATCTTGTATCGCTATTAATTTACCATGTAATATGCATTGAATTGTTTAATAACAAACAATGCATAATTTGGATCAAAAAAATTGTTTAATTTTGCATTCTTCGACATTATTGGTCCAGTTTCAGTTCCTAAGAAATCTTTTATAATTTCTCAAGAATTATTGAATTATAGTGGTTTTGTTTCGATAGCTATCGTCAGTAGACAATACGCACTGTACGTCTACTTCAGTGAAAAAATTCTTACTGGCGCGAACAGAGCGCAAGCTAATTCTAAGAAAGCACTATCTGAGCTACTTTGGGTTCGCGGGCACCACAACAGAGAAGACATGAAGATTCCTAAATTCCTATAATATCGACTAACTCGTTCACGTCACGTATTCAAGATCTTTTTTTATTACTATAGAAGATTATTTATCTGGACACGCTTTTAGCTAAAGGAAAATATAAATAAGGTATTCAGTATCACAATTTTTGATATAGGCTATAAGTAACTTCCTCAATACTCATATGAGAATAAACAAAAGTTCATAAATTTAAAATTCGAATACTCGATTCTGTTTAATAAGCAGACATTTTACTGTTATTATTTGTCAATTGTAAGTAGTAAGATTTATTCGTTTCCTACATCTCATACGTTCCTGATCTTCAGTAATCTCTATTCATACTCTTCACAGCGACCTCCGACGACGCTTTCTAGTTGCGATCGTACACGCGCTCAGAACCAGGTACCATCGTGGACGTCCGCGTTCGACAATTTTCGGATCCACCCTAAAAGCGTGTTTCGTCGACACATCCGAGGATGACTCTTGTCGGATATTTCAGTCCACTGTTAGCGCGGTGCAGCGCGCATTAATACGTATGTAAGCTCGTATCGTGTGGCTGTATATTCGCTGGTTCGTTTCGCTCGTTCGCTCGTGGCCGTGCCGTCTATTATTAGTCGACAGTCATCAGAGTCGGTTGTAACGCGCGGCCGAGCGACAACGCGGAAAAAGCTGGAAGAAAATTCGGTGAGAAAACGGAAAAATCTCGCGAGATTTTTGTGTGGCACGTGCGACTGATAGACAGTCTGTCATTACTGTTCGTGTTACTGAGCACTTCACCGTTCTCGCTGTCACTGCCACCCTTCCGCGACTAGGATTTCTATCCGACGCTCTCTCGACGCCCTTGGAAATGATGATTTTCACACATTTTCCACTGTGAGTCTCCCCTGTTTGTTTCGGTACTGCGCTTTTTGCCTACTGAAACATTACGAACAAGCGTAGCCTCTTTGTTGCGACCACGTTTTTTTGAATACACATCTCTTGAGAAATAAGAACTACCGCTAAGCGTTCCTAGAGGTTGTGGTATTTATCTTTTGCGTGAAAAGCATATTTTTCTTTTACCAATTTTATTATATTAACCCGCGTATTAATGTAATACGCTGATAATGTTGTATGTCGAATCTTGTATTTATTTGTGTGGATCTTGTGAGTTAAATCTGTGAAAGGTTATTAAAACGAGTTCAGTTGTCTTTAATTTTCGCCGATAGTATAGATCGATATAACGATACATATGTGTGATGGTTAGGTTTAGGAAAATTTTAATGTAAAATACGGCTATCCTTCTATTATTAGTGAAATTAATTTAGAACGTTCTATACAGCTATCTATAAACAATTAGTTGACGCATTTTGAATAACGCTTACTTGAAATTAATTTGTTATTTAATCTTACAGATGAAGGATGCGGTTCCACAGAAAGGAAATAATAATAATAATAGTACCAATAACAATAATAATAATAACAACAATAATAACGTAACTACATTAAAAAGCAAGCCCTCCTTGGAAATATATCGACCACCAGGTTCAAATTTTATATTTCTTATTATTATACGATTGTTGCAACTTTATTTTATCTTTAAGATTAATTATTAAAATTTAATATTTTTATTTAGGAGGAAGAACGGAAGGAACCACGGCGAGTACTACTAATCCGCGATTAAACGTACATGCCAAGGAGTTCACTATGAAGCAGAACGATTCGCATCCTTCTAAGTGAGTATAAACTACTTACGAAATAGTTAAGACTTAGTCGATGTATCGAGTATGCTTGAAAGAACGTCTAGAAAGCTAACACAGAATTCCCATTAGCAAAATTGTTGTAAAGGAAATTTTCAGAGTTCGAAACCTTAAAAGTAGATTTTATTTTAATGTATTAAATAATAGATCATTAGTTTATAAATATTTTATTTTTAAATATAAATATTTTGTCTAAAAATTAAGAACACGTACATTTTTATGTTTAAGAAAGTTCAATTTTTATTTAAATGCGACATATTCAAAGCAAAACACCTTTTTAGTAGAAGTAGAAGGTTCTGAAAGTAATTCTGAATCCAGATTCATTTATCGAAGTATCTTGTTCAATCTGGATGTTATAGATTAGTATTCGGGTCGTTCAAAGTGATAGATAGAATGCGAGATTATGTGAGCATGTTGCAATGATGCTTTAATAATTTCTTAATCCTTACAACATTAAAAGGTATTATAGCAGGAAGATAAACAAGCGTTGGATTAATACGATATGTTCTCTTATTATGACTTATGCGTGCTTAATCAAAGAGAAAATAATTTCAATTTAACATTTTACTTTTCATTTAAGTGATCGCTACTTAATGATCTTGATTTAGATCTCGGACGAATGCTTCAGAGCGATCTCCGTATTATTTGCAACATAGCAAGTCAAGTGGCAACGTGTATCGGTATCTTTATGCCCAGCAGCAACAACAGATACAACATACCCTTCAACAGCAACATCATCAAACATCTCGTCACTCTCAGAGTGGTCATCATTCGACAGGCTCTGCATTGCGACAGTCACACCCACTTGATACCTCGGCATCAAGCGGAAATATATTACATGTAACTGTCGATTTTTAAAATATCAATTTTCAATTGATAGAATAGTGATAAGATGGAAAACATTGAAATTTTTTGTTTTAGTTAGAATAAATCTAAATATTTTTCATAAAAAGAAAATATTAAAACAGTAATATTTATAAGAGAAAAGTCATATTAAGAAAATAAATATGCAAATTGGATACTAATAACTATAACAGGTAAAGAAGAAAATAGGAACATAGATATAATGAATAATTTACATTCACTTTATTCGATACTATAATGCGAACGCTTTAATCGATTTGAAAACTGAAGAACCTTTGTAGAATGGAATGCAAATGTGCGTAGGATGAACGTGAAAGTATCGCATACTAAATACATTTTGTGATCCAGGGTTCGGGTAGGGTCCATTTCAACGTGGATCAAAACGATGTCAAAGTAAATGCAGCTAAACCTGGCAGGCTCACAAAATCGTTATCCTTTGTCTCCACTTATGGGCTAAAACGATCGAAAAGCTTAAATGCTGCCGATGTATTGACTCCGAAGACGATAAATATTTCAGACGCGTCAGAATTAGGAAAATTTCCACCAATAATTCAGGATACGCTTCTTAGAGCTATTGAAGGTAATAAAAATCAAAAGTAATAACTATATATATTAAATAATTAGTTATTATGACTTGAAAAGAATTATTATTTATTAAGTGTAATTCTTTTTCTACATAGATCCAAATCTATTGAATGCTCGAACTTTAATGCAGCTCGTGCGGCATATATTGGAAAGGGTCGTTGAGAATCGAAAGCATGC